CTCTTAGTATGTATGTTTGTCTCTCCTAGTGCAAATAATTAGTATAGTAAAACTTCTTAAGGCTAAAGTTTATTTTCTCTCTTAGAAAGATAGGTTTATTTTTCCTAAAGAGTTACATGTAGTTATGCAGCTGTAAATCAGCCTCAGATAATGGACAAGATCAAGTGCTTGATTTTACAGTATTTCTCTTACTTGTGTTCCTGTAACTTCGTTGCCTCATCTGCCTCAAGTTTCTCAGTCTCTGGTACACTGCTTCCTTATGCTGTTAAACAAGTGGCAGAGCAAAGTAAGAGCCACTGCTTTAAAAGAATTGCGTCAAATTCATATAACTCATGAATCAGTAAGTGACTAAAAAATGAACATACCCTGTTGTATTTAGAGAAACGAAACATTAGCATACTCTGCAGTTCTGAACGCTTCAAACACTAAGAAAGCTAGGAAATGGTTTGATACACAATCATTAGCACTACAGTTGGAAAGCAGAGATAATTGATTGTTAATGAGAAAAAGCAGTTCACTTGAGTAGCATGTTTCAGATAACTTCAGTGCTATAAAAGTACATGGTATACAAAATAAACCTCAGTGTGCAGTACTGAGGAGCGTTCAGATTGGTTCGGAACTGTCTTCTCTGAATCTTAAGTGTTTGGATAATAAATCAGGATGGAAGCATCCTGGCTGTCTCACAAAAATAACTGCTGTCACTTCAGGTACATCAGCAGTAAGTGTTTTGGCAACCATAACCATCATAGCTTAGAACCACCCAACAAATCAGTAACCTCATCTTAAATACAGATGAAATTGCAGGGACCTGCAGTATTGTTCCTTCGCAAGATAAAGGAAGGGTAGGCGAGAAGTTTACATTTTCATCCTTCCCTCTGCTTATACTCCAATGTCTCTTGTTATCTATTGCTGTTTCATTCACTGCAGCTGAGACTAGTTATCTCCCCTGTGATTTCTGAGCTCAGATCTTAAGTTGGATATGTATTACAAAGAATTCCCTCAGATAATTTTTTCAGATTTAAGGAAGAACAGCATGCAAAGGAAAAAAGGATCTATTCCGTTATAGATGTTAATAAATGAAACAGGCACAGAGCACTAGTCAGATCTGCTGCTGCCTTAGTATTTTTTAAGAAGTATACAAACTATAGACAAGTTGCAGGAGAGTTTCAATTATGATTTAAAAATTCTTAGTATGGCTGCTTTGCACAGTTCTTAAACGTAATGTAGGTGCTCTCTTGGGAAAAGAGGAGCCATAATGCTTGGGGGAAAAAAAAAAAAGAGCTGCTGGGTTAAACATCTTTCCTTGAGATGGTAGGTGGAAAGGTAACTTCATAGGAAAACTCCTGTGTCACCTGAGAAGACTTTTCACTCTCTCCTTGCTCATCTGGCTGTTCTTTTAAAGACAGAATTATACTGTTAGTTTTAGACAGGCTCTTTAAGCCAGTGAAAGAAATATACTCTGCATCTCTTTAGTGAGTTTGAAAAAGCTAAGTATATTGTAATAGTGGCTCCAAAAAGAGCATTTTATGTTCCTTCCTTTCTTCCCTGCCTTCCCACCCTAATCTAATTGCAAACATGCTTTTGTGAAAGACGTAGCTTTAATGTAATGATAGCCAAATATAACCAACATGTTCTGATGGAAATCAAACTGGTACTTCGGACAGAACTGTGTTTTCATCTGCAATCCTGGCCATAGGAGTGCAAATTACTGTGCTGTAATGGCATGCTGCCACTACCATCTTTGGGAAGTAGATGACAGTAATTGCAAAACCACTTTTCAGTCATCAGAAAAAATCACCTGCACCTAATGATCAGTTTTCTCCTAAATTAAGAAGCAGGGGCAAGTAGAAGAACCTTCTTGGAAGGGAATAGATGATTTAGATGAATGAATATTTATAAAAGATGAGAATACCATCAGCTCATGAAAAGGCATTGAGTTCCTGTGTGCATCAGAAATCACAGCTTCCATTCACAGACATGCTTTTTCATCAGGCATACCACTGCCATCATCAGCAACACCATCTTTTTCGGAAGGATAGCTGGTAGAAGAAGGAAAGCTATTAAACTACAAAGTTTGTTCTTTTTTTATAGGCCCAAAAGATACAAATTTAATTTCCCAGACAGTTGAAGTCTGTTATTTATTTGACAAATGGAGTACACTAACTGGGGATAAGCTGGATATCAGATATAGTCAACATGGTCCAATTCAGCTCTTTTCCACATACCCAAAAGCCCATTTCTATAAAGGAGTCACTCATAGAGATTATTAAAAACTAAGGTTTTCCATTTTAAGCAGTTGTACAGAGGCAATTCAAAAGGAAAACTTTCTGTTTGAAATACCCCTAATTCTAGGAAATTATGGCAGTTGAGAACTAGGTCAATAAAGTACTTTTTTCATTGTAAAATTCTGGGTCAGTTTGTGGCATTGGAAATCTAAGTTCTTCCCTCCCAAAATATATATCAGTATTGAAAACTGATCATAATAATTAACACTGGTCTGAAAGTTTCATTATAATACATACATTGCTCAGATGAGTTGTTTTTAAAGTTCTATTTTCTGTATGCAAGGTGTGTTCTTCATTTGATGATACAATAATCTAAGATGTCAGTCAGACCTTTCCCATGTATAATATAGCATATGGCATTCTGCATTTATGAGATACCATACACCAAACTAGATACATGCAGGCATTGCTGCAGACCAGGTATTCCATAGGGAGACATCCCATAGGCAAGGAAGTGATGCTTTTTTGATGATGAAGTCCTTCCCCAGCCTGTAGGAAACATCCATCATTCACTGATGTTCCTTTTTTTATATCCATGCAACTAATGGTGTTTGGGAGGAATGTGGGCTTGTAGGTTGTTATGAACAGCTGAAGAGGTGTTGTCCTGGTTTTGGCTGGGATAGAGTTAATTTTCTTCCTAGTAGCAGGCACAGTGCTGTGTTTTGGATTTAGGATGAGAATAATGTTGATAACACACTGGTGTTTTAGTTGTTGCTAACTAGTGTTTATAGTAGTCCAGGACTTTTCAGCTTCCCATGCTCTGCCAGGTTGCACAAGAAGCTGGGAGGGGGCACAGCCAAGACAGTTGATCCAAACTGACCAAAGGGCTATTCCATACCATATGATGTCATGCTCAGTATATAAGCTGCAGGGAGTTGGCAGGAGGGCAGTGATCACTGCTCAGGAACTGTCTGGGTATCGGTCGGCAGGTGGTGAGCAGTTGCATTGTGCATCACTTGCTTTGTATGTTGTTATTACTGTTATTATTATATTGTTGTTGTTATTATTATTACTATTTTATTTTATTTTATTTCAATTCTTAAACTGTTCTTAACCCAGGAGTTTTCTCACTCTTACTCCTCCGATTCTCTCCCCTATCCCACTGGGGCAGAGGGAGGGAGGGAGGGAGTGAGCGGCTGCGTGGTGCTTAGTTGCTGGCCGGGGTTAAGCCACAACAGGTGAAACAGTACCCAGTGCATGTAGGCTCAGAGTAACAGGAAGGTCTTATATATTTGCACCACATTCTGGAGCAATATGTTCACATTAGTATAACACCACTGTCAGTGTTTTCAGTAAAGAGTGGCATGAACCGGTATGAAGTGGTGTCAGCAGATAAATGTCAAGCCTCTAATCTACCACCATTTGTATCTTCTGGCAGTCAGTCCTACAAGTTTCCAGAAAATCAAAATGGAGTGCCTCAACATATTTGTGTTTCTGAGTAGGAAATCAGGGAGTCAATTTTCTTAGCACTTGCAATACAGAAGGCTCCACGGACTGACCTCTTTGTGTGATACACCAAGAAGTGACAGTTCCACTGCTCTGGGTGTGCAGAAGCTCAGTTTTGGTGTTCCCTTTCACTGCTCTGTCTCATGGTCAGGGAGGCTCCTATGTGTCTCACTACCTGTCCCTCTGCTTTCATAAGCCTTGTGCCATGTTTGGGAAGAAGGAACAATTTGACGAAAGATTAATATTTAAAGAAATAATTTCCCCCCTGCCCCCCAAGTGATTGAATGGAATTAATCAAAGGCAAACTAAGAAAATGGACTTTTAGAAAAGTGTATAGTATTAAGAAACATTCTCTTCAGGTGCTTCATTTATGTCAGGCCAGTTAGGTATACATTGCTGATTGTTTAATAAAAACAGTAATAGTTTAACTAAAGGTAGTCTGTAATGAAAGTCTTTGCAAATAGATGCTGTGTGAATTTACTTCTAGTTTTCATTTGGTGGTTATGTTGACAATGTATAGCTCCAAGGACGTATTTCAGTAGTGCAGGATTTCTAAGACATAAGGATTCTTTTGCCATATTTCTTTTTACAGAGTCATATCATCTTTTTTGAAAGTTAATTAATTGTTGCCTGGAAATGTCTGTTGGCCAAGTGCCACCCAGAGGTTTCTTACTGTATTTTCTGCTGATACTTAGTCGTCTGCATTCCCAACGTTCCACGACAAAGCAGAGCTCTAAGAGAAGGGCTCCAGGTCACTCTGTGAGTGGGTGCAGAGAGGGAGTGTGCATACAGCATGGCCCTGGGAATTGCAAAATCCACGTTCTGCTTGAGTTGTCATTGGTTGCTGCGTGTCTATACTGTACTGTTAACAGCAACATCACCTATTTTCTCTTTGTCCTTCTTTACTAATCCAAATGCCAGTGCCACAATGGATGTTCCTTATCCAGGTACAATACCAAATAAGGACCGAATGCTCTGTATTTATCTTGCAAGAATATTGTTAAATTTTCTTTAAAAGCTTTAGAAAATAAGTAAAATGCTTTCAAAAGTCCGTGGGAGAAAAGAAAGTTATGTAATTGTGCAGTATCCTGAGATCTGAATAAACTAAACAGAACTTAACTGATCCTGATTCCCCACTTAAGAGTTCTCCTGTACTAAGTATGTTCTTTTAGGTCCAACATGATTTCTGTAAAGGTGACCTTAAGTTTTAAGAGATGTCTGATGCTGTAAAAAACTAATAGGCTGTTTTTCTCTTCCTCTTTTGGGCAGTTTTGGTATGAATCATGATGGAATTGGAAATTCCTGTGGGACCAAAGGTCATGAAGCAGCAAAACTAATGGCAGCTCATATTACAGCAAACACCAACCCTTTCTCTTGGTCAGCCTGCAGTCGGGATTACATCACCAGTTTTTTAGAGTAAGTAATCTCTCAAGAAAAATCATGAGTTTTCAAAAAATTGGCATCTTTCAGGATAAATAGTAGACATACAGTGACTTGTTCTGATGGTTTACATTTTTAGAATAAACAGAAATATAGCAAGTCACTTAAGATTTTTATTTTTTAGAGCACTTTTTCTACGTCATGGCAAAAGCTTCTTCTGCTCCATTCCCTGCCTTACAGTTTTCATTTTTAATCTATTCAAAAGATTTTGAAGTGCCAATCATATCTCATTACTTCATTAATCTGAGGGTAAGAAATAGAGAATGGTAGAATTTGTCTGTGACTGATGGGAAGTTGGTTTTTTTTTTTTGAATACATGCATAATGTGAGGGAATCTCATGAAGGGAACAAGGTTGTAGCCCTGTTCCTTGTACATTTCATTCTCCAGATTTTTTTCATGCAGTCTTATAGGTTTTTATCTATCAATGTTCTTTGGTACCATTGCTGAGAATATAAAGATTATAGGAGAGGATGGCATAGATCTTTATATTAATACCTTAAAATTGTGCTAACCAGTGCTTCTGTGGTGATTTTTATCCAGATGTAGATTGCTACCTGAAATTTTACTTCTGTATGAAAAAATTTAAACAGTCAAAATATGTTAGTCTGAAAAATCATAGAATCATAGAATTGTTTAGGTTGGAAAAGACCTTTAAGATCATCCAGTCCAACCATTAACCTAACATTACCAAGTCCACCACTAAACCAATTAAGGGTAGAGTAGCAACCCCACGCCTCCTGGCTTGGTGGCTGGGTTATTTATAATGAAACTAAAAACTAGGAATCATTAAGATTGGAAAGAACCTCTGTATATGATGCATAATGAAGCCTTTGTATGTGTTTTAAGTTGTGGATGACAAACACAGAACTGTGAGTTCACTGAGAACAGATTAATAACAGGATTTTTTAAAATGGCATAAGATGGGCTTTATGGGAGGAAATGGCAGCTGGTTGGTAGTTTCAGTGTCATCAGTGCAGTCATTCCTTTAAGAAATAAAGGTTGTGCAATAATTCAGACATTTACTGTATTTTAGGAGGTGGACTTAAACCAGTCAAGTTGTCTAACAATGAGACTACTAAGAACAAAATGAGCTTCTCCTCCTCTTTCAGGAATCGCCAGCTGGGTTAGCTCAGTTGATTAGAACATGGTGCTAATAACGCCAAGTTCACAGGTTCAATCCCTGCTTACTGCAGGGGGGTTGGGCTCGATGATCTCTCAAGGTCCCTTCCAACCCAAAGCATTCTATGATCTAACCTCAGAATAAGGTGCTGTGTTCTGAATCTTACCTGAAGGGACCCATCTAGACCAATTAATTTTCTTTAGGTTGGTTGAAATGTAGCTTCCCACACAATGTAGAGGATCACTGAATTAGTCTGAAGAGGTGTTTGAACTCCCTGTAGAGTCAGTGGGCAGAGACAGATGTTTAATATTGGTGCTGTTCAGACAAAAAAATACTTCTCCTCAGTTACTCTATCAGGTTAAGGCATTTTGAGTCACCCCACTGATCTGTGCAGCCACCCAATTTTATGTACTGGGCATTTAAGATGAGTGTGTAAACTAAAGCACACTGAGTAAGTCATCCTTACATGTAAGTGTTACAGGTTTCTCACAATATAAATTGATTTTCTCAGTAGAGATATATATGTATTCATTTAACACTACCATTATAAAAAAAAAAAAAGGTACAGGCTAGTTTTGTTTTATCATTCCCAGTCATTTCTGTTAATTCACCACTGTTCCCATTAGTAGTCTTTCTAGTATGTCATGTAGTCTAGTTTTAACTATGACAAAGAATATGGTTTTTGCATCTTTTCTAGGAGATTATTTCACAGCTTAGTAGTTCTGATTGTAAGCTTACAGTTTAGGTATTTTCTTGTAGCGTTTGGGGATTTGTTTCTTACTGTTACAGTTCTGCTATCCTCTGTCCCATTTACCTCTGCTTGTTGCTCTCTGAACTCCATTTTGATCCCATAATTGTCCTACAGTAAGTTGCTGATGAAGACATAATTCTACAGATAGCTAAGAAGTAATTTCTTATTTTTGGGTTTAGAGAAACAAACGTGGTAAGACCTGTGGTTTGTGTTATGCTGCAAATGTAATAGAGCTGAACATTTGTTCATAATGTTCCCGCACAGTTTTAAATTTCAGCCTGAACAAACTTTCTTCTTTCTTTACTTGATATGTATGCAGTGATCTTTCAAATTTTTACTGCCAGTTAAAAACATGTTTAGCTTGTGGCTTCTCTACTTCATGTTTAATTTTAAAATGTATTTTATTATTTACTGTTAGCATTTCCATTATTCTTTTCCATTCCCTAGGTTTGATTCACTGTTAAGTTTCATTTTTAAGTCTGTGGGATGCCAGTGAAATTGTAGTTCTGTTAGCATAATGCTAAATAATGCTCTGGTGAATATGTTCCCATAGTTTAATCTCCTCAGGTTTTTTGATACTTCTCTGTCATTGCTGGTGTTTGCAACTCTACTTGAATTACTACCATCTGTGAATTTCATTTAAAAAATCATTACTGAAGACACTAAGTGATATTTGAGCTAGAGTAAAAAAACCTTACACATAGCAGCTTCAATAATAAATTACCTTTTATAATATTTTAGCTGTATTTTTGTAACCCAGAATGTTATTTTTTTTCAAAGCCACCTTGGATAAACATTATTTTATGCATTGCAATTATGAATAGATTTTCCAATTGTATAGGATACTGTGTTAAATAACGTACTAAGAGCCAAAGATAACTTCTCCTTCATCTGCTAATTTTGCAATCTGTTTTTAAAAATGTCAGATTTCTCAAATATGATCTGTTCATTATAAAACTATGCTTCTTATTGTGTGTGGTTCTGATATCCTGTAAATGAATTGATACTTTTTTCTGTAAAATAGTTGTTTTATTATTTCATAAAGTAGAATATTCTGTGAAACTGTAGGGTTTTTCTACAGTTTCTAGTTTTCTCCCCAGCTTTTCATGTCATCTTAATGACAGCAGGAAGCTGTTGAGATAGAGTTACACAGGTACATGCAGGACAGCTGTCAGAAGCCTACATCACTTCTTTTTACGTATTAGCACCTTTTTGTAAGGCAGAGCAGCTTTAAGAGCAGATACTTTTCTCTTGCAGGTAATGATCAGTGAGCAAGAAGCAAAGAAAAATAGCAAGTTTCATGTGGTAGCAATTCCCTGACTGCCTCTATAAGAGCAGAAAATTCTGCATCCAGACAGGAAAAATTATTCCCTTTTTTCTAATGCTTCTCCATAACTTAGCAACACATGAGTAAAATGCTGATTTAGAGCTTTAGAGGCAAAGCCTCAAGATGTTATCGTCTGTGACTCCAGATATTTATTCCCCTTTCTTTCTATTTTTCCTCAAGAATGGGAAAACAGCTGGGACAGGACCCAGTAGACTACAAACGAGGAAGACAAGTGTTTTTTTTCTGTGGTGAATGAGTATGGCTAGTTCAGGATTCATTTAGCTATGTCCAACAAGAAAGATATAACACAATGGGATGAAATACAGATACCCAAGCAGAAACCTGAGGCTATGAGTCTGTATGACATACCACAACACCTTTTAGATTTATTGGCTTAGATCTGGATACAAGTTTGGTCAGGGCTGTTGTGGCACCAGGATAATGCAGCTGGAATGAATTTCCCTAGAAGGTCACTACATGTTCACAGTATTATATGGTAAGGTAGATTAATGTGGATTTACAAGTTTACCATCTTGGGTCACCACTTGCTACAGCAGTTTTGCACTGTGTGCCATTTTGTAGTGTAGATACCACGTCGTCCTTTATCATCAGGCAGAAGCATTTTGAAACAGGAGTCATCCTGGAGATGTTCAAAGTTGGAGCCTCATCTTCATCCTTCTCTTCCTCAAGACTTTCTTAAAACAGAAACAAATTTTCCAGACTGTGGCTACTGAGGAATAGCCATTAAGTATCACTTAGAAGGTATCCATTTAGTTAGACACTACTTGGGATATCAATTTATTTTGTGGGATGGCCGGATAGAGGATGAGTATGGCTCAAAGGATGACAATAAGACAAAGCAAAGCTGTGTATTGCTAATAGATCTATCAAAAATCTCAAGAAGAATGGCCAGCCAGCACAGGCTCTGAAATGGCCAAAGAAAATAATTTTTTTCTGGGGAGAATGTTACTTCTAACACATAGCAGTTGTTGTCTGTCAAGCTTTATGTTAGAGTGAAAGATTGAATTCAGTTTATCAACTGAATTGTTCGTAAGTGCTTTACAATGGCTTTAAATTTCACTAAGCTTTCATGGAATTAAATGCAGAAATAGTCACTGAGAATTGAAGGGTTGGAGAGCAGTGTCAGAGAGCAGAGATTCCTGTGAGAGGAGTAGAAACCCTTAATATCTGTTTATAGGAGAAATGAACCAAGCCTAAAAATACTGTTAGTGCTGAAAACCAATCAGTATAAACTTCATTTTATGCAGTGTGTGTATGTGTGTGTGTGTATATGTATTTAAAAAATACATAACATGCAAGTTTCATTATATCCAGCATATATTTATATAGTGTGCCTATAGAGCCATGCAGATACCTAGACGTAAAGAATAGAACTTTCTGCTTATAATTCTTCATTCAGTTACTTTTATGTTTTGTAATAACAAAATCTGGGTGATTTCTGGAATCATAGATCATTAATCTTCTCAGTATCAGATAGGAGGAGGTGTTAGAAGAAGCCAGATGGTCAACTCTGTCTTTCAAAGGCAGAATTGTCTTTTGAAGATGAGTAGAGAAGAACCAAGAGTCTTTAAACTGTTTGAATAAGTAAGATCTATCACAGGAAATTCTTGGAGAGTGTCTAGGATTGCCATACAGCAGGATTTAGATCTGAGACTACACCTTTCTAACTCTGGAAAGGAGCCAAAATTACCTTGGTCCAAGCAAGCCCACGTAGACAATATTAAAAATCATCCAGTGTTTGGGTCCAGACATCATCTACCCAAGAATCTTGGACATAAAAGAGTTTATGAAAGATAAATTTAGGATATGTCCATATATGCCTCATAAGCTATCTATGGCAGATTGGCCAGTCCCCTGGTACTCCAGAAATCTAAATTAACTTTTAAAAAAAGTACAAGCCAAGACTAGTTTTGAAAGATGAGGTCACATCAATCATCAAAATTTCATACCTCTCTGTACAAATCGGTGGAGAAAATTTACATTCAGTATTATCTGTTGACCTGCACTTTGGATTATAATTTGCTTTTTTTTTTTTCTCCAAAGCTTACTAGGGTTTTTTTTTTTTCAGCTGACAGATAATTGAATAAAAAGTGTATGTCCCAATTACTGTAGATTTCTGAAACATTGAAAGTCTTACGTTTTGCTTAAAAGGCTACCCAGTTGAAAAAAAAACCCAGTTTCTGTAATCATGGGCTGGCAATATGTTTTTGAGCGTTGACTTTGCAAGTATTACTCTTTGTCTACCTCTTGGGTTATTTAAATTTAAAGAAATTGTAAAGGGCAGAATCTGCACCAGATTCTCATTAACTTATTTGTAGAATGTTTGATGAAATAAATATAGAACAACAAATTGACCCAATATTTTATAGCTTAGTATCTACCAAACTCTCAAGGCCAGATACCAATAGATTTTCATAGGTGGATGATTTTGGTAGATGGACCAATAGATTTTTTTTTTCCCGATACAGCTGTTGGATAATTATTCAACAGAATAAAACAACACTTTGGAACATAGACCATATTAGGGAGGAAAGTATACATTAAAGAAATAGCAAATTTTCTACTACCAAACAAAAGAAAAATTATTATGGGAAGATTGTGCAAAATTAGAGAGTCTTTGCTATGAAATAGATAATAAGACATAGAGCCAGCCTTGCATAAGAGATTGGAAAGATGTAGAATTTAGCATGAGAGTGAGTGGTAAATCCACAGGAATATCGGAATTTCTCTAACATTCAGGAATGTTTACATTTAGTAATCCTATTCTGGTTCATTTTAATTTTAAACATACCAGTCCAAATCACACTTCCATTACTTATGCCCTGATTCTGCAAACACTTATGTTATTATCTGTAGACTATTGAGCGATCTGCAGAGTTTATTCTTATCATGTGAAGTTAAGTAGCTTTTGTAACCTGTACAGAAATACATCCTGGTGCTCTCTAAAAATCAGTTTTTACTCAGGAAAAGTATGCAATAAATATGAAGTAATAATTCTGTTAGGAGCCAAATGTTACATATAGGCATGTAAATAATTCATGTTTTTATATGTATGTATATGTATAGAATGCCCTGTGCTTGTAGTTAATAAATTTTACTTTTTTTCCCGTATTTTTATGGATAATTTGGTAACAGAATTAAATAAAATGTTACATATACTATCTATATATTTATGTATATGATTGTTTAGCTATACCAGATAATTACAAATATTTATAATACATTTAATTTATGATTGTTAATCATAGCTTGCATTATAGTCCACATCATTATTATGAATGAGCCAGTTCTGTAGCATTCAAAACCTATTTTCAGTGCTAGTGTTCTGGGTTATTTTTTTTCAACCATTGAAGGAGTTGTGTTGCATGTTGCTGAGATATTTGGGAATAGATACTGTAATAGGAGCATAAACACTGAAAGGTCTACATACATGGTTTTTTGCTTTTTCTCTTTATTGGCCTTGGATACAGCAGCGATGCCTGTACAGAGGTGATGGTCCTCGGTTTTGCATTGTTCAGTTTGTAAAGATTCTAACATTGAATCCCTGGTTGCTGTTATTTTGATCAAGCAGTTAGCAGTGATAGCATGTATGAGATCTTAAGCTTTCAGAGAATGCTCTAGTATCCTTGATACCCTTCCAAACAGAAGATTAATTTGCTATCCTGTGATATTAAAATACAGAACAATGTTTAAATTATATTGTAGCATGTTTTACAGAGATCTCTTGGGACACTACACTGGAATACTGGGATGAAATGACACCAAGCTTAGCTGTTTTATAATTGAAACCAGTTCCACTATGTCCCATAAAACCTCATGAAATTAACCTAAAAATAGGAAAATGAGAAATTCTTTGAGTACTAGTAGTATCTTGTGGAGTAAATAGAATGTAAGGATGAGTTTGAGATCATCTTATTTCTATTGCAGACACTAAAGATTTATCCGCTCTGTTCAAAAATGTAAATGCTCTGCAAGGATACTCTGTAGGTTTTTTGAGTTTGTATATGCTTCCTAGGTAAGATAAAATCACAAAGCACAAAATTGTGAGTGATTATGAGTAGAAATTTTCTAAAATTCCAAAGATGAAGGTATTTGGGCATTCTTTTCCTTCTTTTACATCTACAGAAAGGGCTTTTTTTGCTTTTGTAGGCCTGATTGATAACAACTATTAGATCTCTGTTCATAAAGTGCTCCTATACCGTTATCCTTCTTGCACCCTTCTGGTTCCTTCCCCTAGATTTAGCAGATTTTTTTTTCCTCAAGTGTCTGGGTTTTGCTTTGGTGGAGCACAGAGAAAGGGAGAACAAGGACATAGACTCAAGAGTTTTACACCATTCCAGTAGAAGTTGTCTGGGAAGGTTATATGGTCCTCAGCCTGTGTCCATCCTTTGCACAGCTTTGGTAAGCCTTTCATTACCAATGGGAAGTTCCTGGGTTTATTAATGCGTTTTATTACACATGGTATTTCTTTTGCAATTCACGCAATACAGCGTCAGGTTCTCACACTAAATTTGTGAAATGTGTCAGTTGTTTTCAACTACTTGAAAGAAATAATAGAACTGAAGCAGAAGGAGAGAAACAAGTTTTCAGTCTGAGAGGTGGTGATGTAACGTAGCTATTAAGTGAATGATTGCTTAGTAGTCATTTTCTTGCTCTTTTACTACTACAACAATATTTCATTATGGTGAACATCCTGTCATTAGTGCAGAAGAGGCATAGTTTTGTATTTACAAGGATTTTGAATTACATTTCTGCAATTACATGTCTTGTGGAGTAGTTGCAGACTTTTGTGTAGAAGTTCAGTCAATTTAAAGATTTAGATCTGATTCTGTAATCTAATCCATGCAGGGCTACATAGGCCTATAGAGAGAGTCACTGCAGTTAACGAGGGCTTTTAAATGCTGTGCCCTTGGCTGTTTACGGGATCACAGTTTACAGACCAAACTCTGCATTAGTGGAATCTGTGGAAATGTTCCCATCATATGCAATACTAGCTCAAGCTGATGGTCAAATGCTAAACTTCCCACTGCTTGTTTAAGAAAAGTTCCTATCTGCAGTTTGGTCCAGACAATGCAGAAAAATCAGATTGTGTTTGGGTTATTTTCATATTGGAATTACTCCTCATACACACACAATACAACACTGAAATATTTCAAAAGAATATAGGATAGTTTCCCAGCTTGTGCTAATAGAAAATACATATGCTTGCAATAATTAAAAGTGGAATAAAGGGGCAAGTACATTATTTTTTATGCCAGAACCACACAGTTGATATTTTAAAAGTAGATTTCAGCTGAGGGTGTTTGTGTATGGGGGGGTGTTTGTGTGTGGGGGTGTGTGCAGGTGAATCACACTAAGTTCATTGGGATTAGTAACCAAAACCCATATTTTTTTCTGTATTTACCTGGTTATTGCCTTAGTTGCTGTTTGCCGCCTTCTGAAATGGTTGGCAGTTGTTTGTTTCTTTGTTTTTCCAAAGGGTTTATCATAGTATTTCAAAGAATTGCATAAAATAGGGTTAAAATGAGAGCATAAAATGTGTAGTTAAAGGAGGCTTTTTGCTCTTTTTTTATCTGCAGATGAAAAGTATAGAAAATTGGAGATCGCCAAAAAACAGTGTAGAACATTCACTTCTGAAATTATGTTCCTTTGGCAAGGTGCATGGAAAAGATTTGAAAAAAAAAAAAAAAGCATAAGTGCTGGCAAAATTTGTAGGAATGTTGGAAAAAAATTTAAAGTGCTGGCATAAGAATTCTTTAAAAATCCTCACTCACATGTGAAATGAAAGTTAAAAAGCATCTGTTCTCTTTTATGCACACTGAATAAATAAAACTGAATAATTCTATTTAGCAAAGTACAAAGTTTTCTAAACAGAACTCTGTCTGCATTTGGCTTGCTTTGTTATTTATTCCACTACACTAAAATATTGTGGTTGGATATGGGCATATTTTGGAAAAAGAACCCCACTAACCACCAAACAAAACAGTGAATACAAAAGAAGAAAATAGTAAATTTTCAAAGATGATGGTCTTAGTTCTAACATGAAAATTTTAAGATTAAATATTGTTAATACAATAAAAAAGATCTTGGATCCATACAAATTTTTTTTACTCGCCCTAGTATAGGTAAATTTGAAGATCCTGCAGAATTTTTAGCACTGTAACTATTTTGTTCACTCAAATGGAAGAAAAGCATGCATGTTAAGGTTCTAATCCCATAAACATCTAGTCATATTGAAATTCAAATGTGTTTTACTTTTATATAAACCAATTGAGATGCTCATATCTATAAGATTGTACTAGCTGTTTGAAGGATCAGAAGGGTCATTAAGAACTGTAAACTGAATTTCTTTTATTTGCTTAATTTGTTTATTTTTCATTCTATGACCAAACGTGGCTATTCTTCAGTGAAAACAAATAGGAACCTTAAAACAAAAATGAAAATCAGTCTTGTGTGGCTCAGAAATTATCACACTTTAAAAAAGGATAATATATGAAATCTATTTCACAATCTAAAATAAGCATTTTTGTTAATAATAATGATGAAAAATTATTTTAATCTCTTAATTCCCTCTAATTATTTTTTCTTTTTACTATGGGTGTACCATCTTACTGTTTGTTTATTGCAATCATATTTGTTTCACACCCAGTGCTGTTAAAAGTAAGAACTAGATACATGATATCATTACTGTGATTTACAGTCAGTAGAATTCCTAATTGATTTGGTCCTTTATGTTGAACAGTTCGGGCCGTGGTACTTGCCTTGATAATGAGCCTCCCAAGCGTGACTTTCTTTATCCAGCTGTGGCCCCAGGTCAGGTGTATGATGCTGATGAACAGTGTCGCTTCCAGTATGGAGCAACATCCCGCCAATGTAAATATGGGGTAAGAAGTCTTAATCCTTATGCTGAGTGTTCTGCTTAGTCATTTGTATATATTCCTTTATAACATAAATCTTTAGTTAGATGCAGTAGTGGGTTACAGATTTCCGATAGCATGTCTGGTGCCATCATATCTAAGCAAAGGGTACCTTTTAATCCTTATGCTGCATCTTTTGCTTGAGTCATTTGTGTGTACTGTACACCAAAATGTGTGGGTAACAATGAGCTGGGGAAAGCATTCTTTAGTTTTAGGGGAAAAAAGGAGCCCAGAACACTTGATCCTGCTCCTTGTAAAGTGCACTACAGAATTTTCCCTGGTTTCAGTTAAATGAGATCAGGTTCATGTCGTATTAATCTTGAAACATGAAATCTGTTGTATTGGCTTTAACTTTTCGATTTAAAGCTACATTTTGAAATTACTTTTGTACTTGTATTGATTTGTCAGGTCTGGTGTTTTTTTTTTTTTTTTCCCCTGACATTGAGTTTATTGTTTCTCACATTGTTCAGATCTCTTTTTGGAAAGATGAATTACGGTTTATGGGAATGGAGGAACATGAAGCTAGATAGCTGAATAGAATACTGAATAGCTAACTACTGGCAAAGCTTTGGCTGCAAGTACCAGTGTGCAATATTTAAGGCAAATAAATTTACATTAGAAATAAAAATCTGCACACTGAGGCCATTATGCAATAAATTTATAAATACTTACTTAAAATCTTGCAGCCCAAAGTATGTAGTAAAAGGATGCATTCTGCTGTGCTTGTCATCAAATAATCATCTGAGGCTAAATTAAATAAACCTTGAAAACATATCTAGTGGTTTAAAAGTAAATAGTTTTAATAATATTTTAATTTTTAGATTATTCAAATACAACAATGTAATCATTGAATTTATACTCTATTTACTTCTCTAAAGGCTAGCTACAAAGAAAGTCCATTTTTAATATCCCTGGGGTGATAAATACAATATTATTCTTGGGATGCCTCTTTGGCAGGTCGCATCGTGCAAAGGATTTAAAAGCTGTATGTAGCTGGCTGACTAGCTCACTGGGTCTTCTACTCCTGATCCCTCATCAAACCTCTTTTGGCCTTTATTGTTCCTCTTTTAAGTTCTCACTTCCCACCACTGTTCTTTAAGGGCCCTGTTCCTGTTACTACATCTAAATCATACCTCCCCCACCCCCCCTTTCTTTTTTCTTACAAATTCTCACCACACACACCCTTTTATTTTCAGACTAAGGAAATCTGCAGGTATTTAATCCATGATTTATTGCACAGCCTTTGGAGATATACTGCATTTTAAATTAAACTGGAAAGTTAATAATGTGCAAAACCTGGCTTTTCCACATACGTGTTATTTTTTTTCAGACACTGTTAAACTATGTAATCATTGTTGTGATCATCACACTGCACAGTACACTTTCTTTCTTAAACCGGTTTCTAAACCACAAACAATTGGAAGTAATGAAGATGTGTAGGTAATACTGGATTTCTGCCTTCTGCTTTCTTTTTGTTTTAAAGTTTTTGTTGGTATTCCCTTATAGTTACAAAAAAGAGATTGGCACTTAGTTGAGGCAATAGTTAAAAGAAGTTACGTCTTCATGCGACGTTACCAGTCCTCTGAATTGATATAGTGTATTGTGTTCCATCAGTGTGCCATCAGTGTGAGCATAACTTATAAGTGTCTCAGAAAAAAACCCCATTTTTTTAATAATAGGATTCAGACTGCATATGTTAATGTAACAGGTTATTGTAGAAGTCTGGTAATATCCACTCTAAGAAATGATATACATTTAAAATAGCATCTGCATTTAAAAATATTATCTGCCATGGCCATAATGCTCTGAAAATGCAATCATGATGATTATGATCATGCAGATTTCAAGTGATAATTTTGAAGGGGGAAAAAAAAAAGTCTTTGGAAGCCGGTAGTGCAGATGGAAAATATCCACACAAGAAAGACCTATTCATATAAGAAAGGGTTTTTAGAACTGAGGAGTGGGACTAGATCTAAATACTGGGAAAAGCTAAGTTGAATACTCTGCTCAACTCTTTCATTATTGAAAGTAAACAGTCAGTGCTTTGGATATTCCTACTTGATGTACTGTTCACATGAAGATGCCATTAATAGTTCATTGATATTATTCTGACAGACACGTGCAACTATGGACAGAAAAACATAGTAAAAATCCCTAATTAACAGTGGACCTAGTTAGTGTACTAACTTCTTTCTAGCGCTTCTTTTAGCCCTTTTTATTTGAAGTGATTGGTAAAAAGGGGGTAGAGCAGGTTTTCCAACATGGGGTTTAGTCGCCCGGAAGGAAATAAATCCTAAACCAAAGGGAAATCTCAGAGCTTGCCTTTTTCTCTTGCTCATGTTCTTTGCTGATTTGTGATGGCAAGACATGACAAGAGAAACAGTCGAACTCTCAAATCAAAGGCCAAAAAATTGCAAGTCTCCTTTGGGCTCTGATGTAGCTGTCAAGATAGTTGGTGTTTTTAAAGTAACTTGGAAAATCTTCGTGTTCTTTCTGCTTTGGAATTCTGTCATAATGTCATTAACCTTTAGAAAAATTACTTCTTTCAACCATCTAGCTTTAACATTAATCTGTGTTCATTGCCTTTTCTCCTGTATTTCCCTATCCTTCTCTCTGTATGTTTATTTTAAACTGTTTGTTGCTTTTGATCATAGATCAAGTTCACATCCTGCAAAGACTTTTTCACATTTAAGTACCTGAAGCCTTTCTCACTTAGGAACTTGAAGTTAAATACATGGAGAGGTGTTTGAATGATTAAGGCATCAGAACTAAAGCACGAAAGGGACTGCAAGTTTCTGCCTTTCTGAGTGTGTGTTTACTGACAAGGAGCCAATTTGACCTTAAAAGGAGCTCTTTGGCTGTTGTTTTGATACTATTGTAAGTACTAGACCTAATTAAACTGTTTAGTCTCTTATGGACAGAACTGTTCCAGCAAAAGTGTTGTGGCTATTGGTCAGATTTCCCTGTATTGTTCAGCACATTAAGTTGGACAAGAATTCAAAGAGGTACTTTAGCTCTTTGAGCTGAAAAAATAAAACTACATGTTACCAAGTAGACAATGATCCTTCTGATGTTACATGTGCATTGTTCTTTATACTATACTTTCCACCATTTCTGATACAGGGGCAATTTTAGAGAATTTAAGTGAAGAAATAGATACTTTGAATAAAGAATTGAGAAGCAATGTCTCAAGCTACTTAAAATATTTTTAGGATACACTTTCAGATTCAGGAGAATGTTAAATTTATGACTTACAGTGAGCCAAATTGTAATGGTGGAGATTTCACCATATAATGCTGATACATAGCTTCTTCCCTAAAGGCAATACATGCTTTCAGGTATCTTACTGGATTCACTGCAGTGGGAGATTTTGAGGTTATTAGGAACAGTGCTAGTTCCTGTTCATTTATGTAGCTACTGGATATGCTACATCTTCTAGGGTGATGCAGTATGAATTCTATTCTGCTAATTGTCAAGTGTGTCTCAGTTCTTTGCTCTATTTGTATGCCAGTTGCCCTGATAGTTCAGAACCTTTTTCATTCCTTTTGTTTAGGTGAGTGTAAGGAGAACTTTTTTTCATTAACTCCTTACCTCCTTAACCTTTGAGCATCTGCCTAATAACAGTTGGCTGTTGGCTGTCTCTGGGTTAACTCAGGAAAGAATTCCAGTCTTGACTTCGAATTTCTCAGTTTTATGAGTTTAAATAATACCTGGAATATGCCTGAATGTAACTTAGAGATTTTGTGGTTCAAAATACTGCTTTGCTTTAGAGCTGGTCCCCACATTTTTAGGACAGAGGCTAAAACCTCAGACACTTTAATAGCAGTTAATACTTTATGCATATGGTTGATATTGCTGTGGTGCATTTTATGATCTGTGAAGCTGTTGGCTGCTAGCATGGGTTTCAGAGATAGTGCCTTACAATTCCTTGGTATATTTTTTTGCATTTTATGCTTTTCCACCATCATTGGTGTCAGTAAATACTTTGAGTAGGGGGAAAAGGGGACAGACTCTCCTTTCTTTTGCATACATGGCTTCACTGAAATCAGCAGGACCAGTCTTTGTATTTCACACTAGAGTTTAACATACCAGGTAATGTATTTTAGCTGATGACAGGTAGCTCTCTTCTTTGTCGTGGTCTTATGTTTGCAATTAAGTTCTCCAGTTAGTTTGCCAACGAAAATAGCTTTAAACTCAAATACCAGTTTTATTCACATTTTCTTAGTGTGTTTTGGAGGACAGATAGAGTTCAAGCTATGAACTTACTGCTTGTAAACAGGCAGAATGAAGATATATTCTCAGAATGAGGAGTCTTCCTGCTGCCTTTAATAGCTCCCTTGCATTAATTGTCTCTAGGAAGTTTTTAATGAGTGATGGGGAGTGGCCATAAAGTTTATTACCGTTAATGGAAAGTTGCTGGGAAAGTGCTGACTACAGAAATACAGTACAGAATCATTTAACTAAATTAGTTAGTAATGAACCAAAAAAACCCAGCATTGGTCAGCTAGCTTTCAAATCCAGGAGAGTAAACAAATTGCTATACAGAGGTTCTACAATATTTCTTCTAGGACAAAATAACCTGAATTTCAGTGGACCCTTGTAATCAGGTGATACAAACTTTAATGTTACTGAATTAAACTCACTTTTTTTATGAAACACTGATGTGATTTACTCCAGTTAAATAAAGAGTGGTATTAAGCTTGATGTATGGTTTTAATAGGAAGGTGGAAGCTGGTTTTTTTCAGAAGGCAGAGAAGCCATTGGTGTATCTTTTCACCAGAACTACTGGTTCCCTTTTGTTCCCTCACCCATTGATACTATGACTAGGATTGTGCATTCAGTTGAATACACGTACATAGTACTTAATAACTCACTGAAAAGTGACTTTTTTTCCCTAGCTTCATACGTCATACCATGGCTAAGTCACTTTATAGTTGGTGTTTGTTAGCAGAGCATAAGTAGTTTGA